ATTGCTAGTATCACTCAGCCCTCTGTGAATAGTAAACAGCCATCAGTGTGCTAATGATCCATTGTTAGGCTTATGGTCCTTCTTGAGCATGTGATCAGCTGGTTTTGGTTGTCAGCAGCAAAACTGGTTGATCCACCCTGAGAAGTTGCTATTTAAGAGACTGAGCTGAATACAGCACCTCAGACTGAGGAAGTCTCTCGGATGAGAGACGAAACGTTTCTACATTTTTTTTTTGTTGTTTTGGTTTTTTTTGAATGTCCGAGGACCAGATTTAACTTTTTTAGATTTTTCTACCTGGATTATTGAGCATGCATCAGGATATTTGAAGTTTTATGTTTGGTCTTGGTCCCTCTTGGACCAGCTGGTAGCTCCTTGATGTCTGAAATAAATTCAGATTTTTTAAAATGAGGTTGCTCACAGAGCCATCTACAACAGGTAAGATGTTTATTATTGATTACCACAGAATTTACTTCACAAGATCTGAACTATTACTTTAAAGTCAGTCTGTTGGGATTTAGTTTAAAAATGTTTTAAGACAGAATTTTAAACAAAACGAAACATCCATCCATCATTGATACATCATGCATACATCCATACATCATCTATCTGTCCTTCATCCATCCATTCGTCAATCCATCATTGTTACATCATCGTCCATCCATCATTGACACATCATACATACATCCATACACCATCCATCTGTCATCCATCCATTCATCAATCCATCATTGATACATCATCATCCATCCATCTTTCATACATTGTGCATCCATCATACATCACCCATCTGTCATCAATCCATTCATCACCCATCCAACCATCATACATGCATCCATCTTCCATCAATCCATTGATCACCCATCCATCTGTCATCTATCATCCCTAAATTTATCAATCCATCATTGATACATCATCATCCATCCATCATTGGTACATCATTCATCCATCACTCATCCATCATCCATCTATTATCCATCCATCAATCTATCATCCATCCTTCCATCATCCATCCATTTGTCATCAATCCATTCATCACCAATACATCATCACCCATCCATC